GGAACAAAAATCTGATATTCAGAAATTTTAGCTCCAAGGAGGCAGAGTGCATTCTAAGCATCCCCATAAGCCTAACCAACAGAGAGGACAGCAACTACTGGATCCATAGTTCAAATGGGAATTACACAGTGAGATCAGCTTATAGAATACAATCTGAAGGCCAAATGGAACGAGAGCAAGAAGCCACGGAGGTAACTGGTACAAGTTGGAGCTCGAATAGAAAGAAATGTTGGAAGCATCTTTGGAAACTGAACATCAAGCATAAGGTGAAGATTTTCTTGTGGAAATGCCTAAACCAGGTGTTACCAGTAAGACAACTCATCTACGATAGAACCAAACAAGGTGATCCAATATGCAGAATCTGTGGTGAGCAAGGTGAGACGATAGAGCATGCTTTGCTTAATTGCAACCAAGTCAAACTAGTGTGGAAAATGTCACCTATTCAGTGGGAAGGAATACTAGACCAGCATGGTTGTTTTAGCAGGTGGTGGGCTACAATGATGGAAGCTAGCACGAGAAGTGAGGGTAACAAACATATCTCCCTAACAGCGAACATCCTTTGGCAAATCTGGAAAAGTAGGAATGAAAAGGAATTCAATGCCAAGCAGCACCCCCCTATGAGAACAATACAGACAGCTCAGGAGGAATGGTTGGAATATGAAGAGGCATTGACAAAGACCTCAAGCACGAGTACAGAAGAAACAAGAGAACAGATGGAATCCCCCCAGCATCAGGAGGAAATGGAAGGCATACTGAGATTAAGGTTTGCAACAGAAAAGAGTAAAGACATGCCTCAAGTTGGAATAGGCGTCACTGTCTCCAGGGACAATCAAAACATGATACGAGGCTGGACTTTACAGGAAAGAAGCTCTGGTCACCAAGTCATGGACGAATTAACAGCCATCAAACTACTGATGTGTAAAGCTACTGTCCAAAAAATGGAAAGGATTGAAGTGCAAATCCAGAACAAGCTAACGTACAATCTCATTCAGCAAAGGAAATCTCAGGATATGCGAATGGCCACTCTGATGGAGGATATTTACAGCCTTCAGTCCTTGTTTCGCATGTGCTCATTTTGTTTAGTAAATAGGAATAGTAACCATATTAGTCACCGGATTAGCGTGCAAGCGCTAGAATTCATAGAAGACCAGGAATTTTGGATTCCTCAGTGTTAGGGTACACTGATTGTAAAGTTTTTTCAAGTCTTTACTTGAATCTGTACAGGTTTATTATCTATAAAATCACTTAACGTTTCGAAAAAAAAAAAAAAAACTTCCACTACCACTATTTTGCGCAGGTGGCCATAATTATTGTTTCTCACACGTGTCTCGTCCACATTGTGCTCCAACAATAGGCACAGTCAAAGTGTGCCTACCATAGACAGATCCAAGTACAAGCCAAAAAAAAAAATGCCTGGCCAGGAGTGAGAGATGGTTCTCTGATTATCCTTTATAGTTGCAGAGGATTCCAAGAAATTAAACTGGACAAGTGCCAGTGCCAGTGCCAGTGAAGCAGCTTCAAACTATAGATCCGAGCAATGTCTTGCCAGAGTACGTGAACTCTGTTACTCTTCAAAATTAGAAGAAGACGATAACTAGGGGTGAGCATCGAATTTGAAGTCGGTAATTCGGTAGGTTGAAATCGGTAATTTTCGATAAATGGTTCTAGAAATATTCGACATAATTCGCATTCGAAATAGGAAATATCGAATTCGAATTCAATCCGAATTGAATTCGGTAAACGAAAATTTACCGATTTAATCGAATTCGTGAAAACTGCTTCTTGGGGCATCGAACCAGTCGGATGGATCTGTTAACTACTTTGGAGATTATGACAGTGATATCATGTGCAGCAAGAAGAAGAGATGCAGACACTCCTACGATCTGAATTGCTCTGCTCTGCAATTTAACAGCAGCAGCAATGGATTTTGTAGCAACTCATGAGCAGCGGCAATGGATTTTGTAGCAACTCATGGGACAGACTGCAATGTCTTTCACTCTGGATTGGCGTGGGTGAGCTTCTAACCCCATTGACTGCTGCTGGTCTTGAGGATTGTCCCAACCTGGAGGAGATCCAAATCAAGGTTGAAGGAGATTGCAGGGAATGGTCAAAGCTGCACAGTACCCCTTTGGGTTGAGCAATCTGGTGCAGTATCCTCGCTTAACCAAGATGCATTTGGATTGTGGAGACACCATAGGTTATGCACAGACTGCACCGTCTGGGCAAATGGATTTGAGCCAATGGGAACGATTTTACCTGATGGGAACGAATGCTAATTTAGGGCAAAAGTCTGAAATTGGAACATCTGGACATAAGGATATTATTTCCTATTTAACTTAATTCGGAATTTCGAAATTGAAAACGGTAATAATTTATCGTTTTACCGAAATAAATTCGAATTCGGTAAATCCGAATTCAAAAACTATAAAACCATTTTCGACCCTAATTCGATTCTAATTAATTCGATATTACCGAATTACCGACCGAATTACCTAATTACCGAATTCGAATTACCAAATTCAAATCGAATTCGGTCGGTAATTCGGTAATTACCGTAATTGCTCACCCCTAACGATAACTATCCAATTAAAAGAAGTGGAATGTCAATTGAACTCCTTACTTATTTATGCTACCTTTCCAAAGCTTTTGACTATGTTAATCAAAACACAAAAAATCCTTCCCTTCATTGAACTTATATTTTAGCAATGGTATAAATTTGAAAATAAAATGAAAAGTGGGGCCTTTTTTTAATATGAGTAAAAACAAAGGGAGGGAACTGCCACAAGCAAATAAGAAAGCGCTTTTAACATTTCTCTTAAAAGAAATGATGAAGGAAATACTAGGTTTCTTTTTTCTTTTTATACCCCGAAGTTATAGTTGTATTTAGCATAAATTATATAAATGCACATGCAGTAACAAGTTGAAGGTCATGATTTGGATACTATGATGGTTTGTATAACTCTTATAATGAGGCAAATCAAGTAGAATATTTGGTGTTCAGCCTCTATTTGTATAATACACGAATAGGATTCGAACTCGATCAAATATTAAATGAGTTATAAATGTTACTCAAATTCGATTGGTTAATTTGCATTGATATTCGAGCTCGAATTCGAATTCAATCTTGTTTCATTAAACTAAATGAGTGAATTTGAGCTTGAACTCAAATTTGAGCCTAAAAAAAATTTAATTATATTTTATAAAGGTAATACATATATTATAATAAATTTAATTATATTTTTTAAAAAAACAAGTAATACTAAATTTTCTATATAATTACCTTTTTAAGGAAAATATAAGGTATATGTATAATGTATTTATATTTGGAAGGTGTATATACATATTTTTTTAAGGAAATATGTTGTTCTATTTCTATAGTGTCTAATTAAGTTGTAGCTATGCATACATTATACATAGTCTCTAATTATTATTATCATTATTATTTAAGAAATTCATGCAGTATTATAAATCCTCAGAAGAAAATTTATACTTTTTTTCAAAAACGATAATTGTTGTATAATTTAATCTATCATATATTAGGGGGAGGGAGCGGACCTAAGGAGGCCCAGGAATAATTCGGAGGGGACTAAACTACCACTAATCAGACAGGTGCACTACTTACCTACCTGAATTTTTTTTTTAAACAAAGTCACTTTAATGTGATAATTGAACCCTTGCCCCCTATCCTATCCAACTTTTAATGCTTTGGTGGTAGCCACCAACTTTTCACTTAAGATCCTCGGTGACATGAATCCAATGCCAATTCAGTGCCACCTCTAATATTGCGCCAAGTGTCCTATTATTATTTACATTTTAATTTTCTAATAATTCAAATTGATTTGATTTAATACAAATTTTCTTAACCCTTTAAACCTTTAAACCAAAATTAACCGATCGGTTTAACTCATATACCAATACTTTCATCATCTTCAAACTCTCCACCCCACTCCGATAAGGTCCACACTTCACTGCCCATTCCTTCTTCCTCCGATGAGGTCCTTTTGATTCCTCCACCAGCTCCGCCATTCCACGTGGCATCATCTTCACTGCCGATTGCCTCACCGTCAAAGGCATCTTCACTGCCGATTTTAATACCAATTCCCATACACCCAATAGCACCCAATAGCACGCTACACCCTGTTGCGAGTCTCTGTCTCCGTCCCTCTTTTCTCTCTCGTCTTCTCCCCATCTGTGATCGAGCTCTTCCGCTCTTTCTGTGCTTTTTCCCAGAATTTTGAGACATTCGGTTTCGAGTGTTTCTGAATCTCAAGCTCACAAGTTAACTTTCCTTTTGATTTTTTGCCAAACCAAGGTAGGTTAGTTGATTTTCTTGTACTTTTACTGCTTTTAATCGTGTAAGATGGTACTCTTAATATGATGCTGTTTTTGGATGAAGAACGGGTTAATCTTCTTCTTTTTTTTAAAGTTTAATTTGTTAATTTAGTCAAATTTATAGCTTTTTGTGGGATTACGTTCTGATTATTCAGTGTTTGGTTTCAAAGATTTTACTGGTATTTATTTATTGTTTCTGTTCTTGAGCTGTGGTAGCAGGTTTCTGTGGTGGTAAATTTAGCCACACCTTAACTTCGAATTGAAACTTAAGTTATTGTTCTGCCCTCAAAATTAATTTGAAACTAAAATTTTGAGCTGAAAAAATTGCAGTATAAGTTGCTATTGTCTTCTAATTGGTGCTTGGCCTTAAGATTACAGTCTGGTAAAGGTTGACACGATGAGCCCATGAAGAATTTAGATTGGCTAAGCTGTAGGTGCATATGTGTTTGTGTACATGGATGAATGGTATATGTATATGGGTATACATCATCTTTCTTTTGATGCCTTGAATGGACCCAAGCTCATAGCCATTTTGTTCGTTATTGTGCAATTTTGTAGATCTCCCTGACCTGCTATGGAAGATAGTAGCCTGGGGTAACAGCATTTGAAATCATTGTTTTTTCTAATATTTAATAGTGAATTATCGGTCTTGGGTCATGCTCTCGTGATTAAATTGTTCTTGGGTCATTGTTTACTTCACAGCAGCCTGGTGTGGACCTTGTAAGATTTATGTATTGGAAATTGTAGACATATGTAGCACTCTGGCTTTGAATGCTTTATTCTCATTTGCAGCATTAATATTTATTTCACATTTTCATAGTAGTTTGATCTGTAATTTTCTTTCACCATTATCTTGTACAGGTAAGTTCATATCTCCTGTTATTGGACAGCTGAGTGAGAAATATCCTCATGTCACCACGTACAAAATTGACATTGATAAGGTAATAAAGACTACATGGCAGAAATTTTTCTTTTAACAATGGAAGGGAAGTTTTGAAAAAAATTTTTGGGACCGTACAGGACACTCATATCATGTTTGATCAAAGTGTTTCATATTTCACTTGAATCTCAAATAAGAAGATCTACTTGCCTTACCCTATTTTTTAATCTATCATGCATGGTCAAAGGCTCTTTATAGATTATTGGGTGTGATTCTCCTTTCATAATCTCTTCCGATATAGATTATCATCAATAGTAGCAACTTGAAGTGCAATTTCTATGCAACAAAATAGCTTCTTTGCAACTCTTTTCTTAGTCTTTTTGTTAATTCTCTTGTTTTACACTTAGCTTACTTCCCTTGGCTTATTACATGCAGGACGCTCTTGCTGAAGCATTAATGAAATTAGGAATCCATTCTGTGGTACTACTTCTTATCAGTAACTTCTCATTTTGCTTTTTTCAAAGAAAATGGATACATAGAAAGTATAGGGAAGTTTCTTACCACATTGTGAAAAAAGTTACAAAGAAAAGATGGGCAGTTAGCTGATTTTCATTGAGGTTTAGTTTCTTAAATTTCAAGCCAAAATTTTATTCCCTGAAATGGTTTTGTATTGTGGATAGATACTTCTCTCCATTAATTCAATAGATGTCTGGGCTATTGTAAGGTTACAAGGGAGAAAACAAAAAAATGAAAAGGAGCGTAAAAAGTGAACAGTTCTAATGAGTACCATTATGCTGCAGTAGCTTCCTGAGCTTGGATTTGTATACTGCTTTTTTCTTTGTTGCCTCATGATTCCAGTTAAAATTTAATTTTCTTTAAATGGAATAAGTTCCATATATTGGGGATGTGGAAAGGATTTATACCCATTAATATGTTAAAATCCTAGTCAAGTTTTTGTTAAGAATATGTGCTTAGTTAATTAAGTTCCTTCTCAAATACCCAAGGTTTGCATCAACAGAGATTTTTTTTTTGTTTTTGTTTTTGTTTTTTCACTTCAAGAGACCAGAGCTTGGATGATGAATTGAAGTCAGTTTGTGGTCTTACTTAGCTCCCATCGGCATCAGAACGTACGAAAATGACTTCATGATCTTTTGGAGTAGTTTTAGTCTTGTACTCTTCTGACCTTATGCATATGATTTAGACGAGTGTAGGTCCTGTCCCGTCCTCATGTAGGTTGATGGCAGTTAATCTCCTATATGCAGAGAACTAGAGATTCCTCATCTAATGATTCTTATGACAATCTGATGGCTTTACTGGCTGGTTTTGCTGTTCAATTAGAAACTGACCATATATGATTCTAAACTGATGTAATCTTGGAATTCGTGTTGGCTTGGACACAATGGCCTCATATGTTTGATGTACCATATTCATGTTGGTATTTTTGCCCTCTCCTCTGGCACCAAGCATAAATTCACCATCTTTTCTCTATTTGTTTGATAATAGAGTCTTAAAGTCATGAATGAACAACACACCCAATTTATGTTACAACTAGTTTATCATGCAAACTATTCTGTATAGTTTAAACTATATCGATGTTTTCTTAAACACATGGACTCAAGAATCCCTAAGTGCAAGTTATTCTTGTATTTAATCCAATTGTGGGCAACAGTCTACAAGGAGTTTTTAAGTTGCTTTACATCTTAACTAGTTCATTGATTGCTATTTCGATGCCAACGGCATTTGTTGCAGCCCACCATACACTTCTTTCAGAACGGGAAAAAGGCATCCGAGATGGTCGGTGCTGATGTTAAGCAGTTGAACGCGACTATGGAAGAATTGTACAAGTGAGTGTCTGCATATATGGAAGTAATCTTACCACGGAATATACAGTGGTTTTGACTAGATTTTGGTTTGGAATTTATTTTCTTCAAATTTAATACTATATGCTGGGAAACGTTGAGGGTTTTACAGTGGTTTGATATGCAAGAACTGTTTTATATATATATTTTTTACTTCGGAACCTTCATTGTTATGTTTAAGCATGACCATCCAGTATATGTGGAATTGAAATTTTTGAAAGTTGTGGAAATATGATTCAAACACAATATTTGTTGGCCAGAATGTGCAGGAAATGTGTTTTCTTTCAGTTGGGACGTTCTATCAGCTGACTACTCCTTTTCATTTTAATTAACTTTTTATAGATCTGGTTTGATTTCTCTATTATATTCTATCTTTGATCTTACTAATTTAGCTGAAGGATGTTATCGTTTTCCTTTTTCAGTCTGTCCATGAAGGTCGCATTTATCAGTTGAAGTTATTTTGCGACAAGGATTATCCTGAGAAGCCACCAAGTGTTCGTTTTCATTCTCGGATCAACATGACCTGTTGATCCTACAAACTAGTTTGAAGGAAATCATCCTACAACCAGTTTGTTGTCTTGAGTTTGTATTTTAAGTTGGATAATTTTTTAGGAAGTACTACTATGAGCTGTTGGTGATGTTGACCTCAATGCTAGTGGACAGACAACTTAATAGTTAGTGAACTGTGTACCTTCACCTTTTTGCAAATAGACCTGTACATTCTGGAGTTTGGGAAAAAGACAGAAAGTTGGTTTGCCAACATTTGTAAATGTTGTATGTTGTATGGTTTTCCTTTTCTAAACATGTGTTTCTTTTGGAATGCAATTAACTTGCTACTAGACAAGTAATGTATGAATTTGAGGAATGAGTTCCCTAACTGCACTAATTTTCCGCGAGGAAAGATCTAAAGCACCATGAAGCAAATGTTGGAGACCTCTTATTATGTCTTGCAAAACCTATTTCTCTAACTCTCTGATAAAACATCAATCCAAGCACAAAAGATCAGTTCCCAAATCCAGATAGCAAAGCTGTCTCAAAGTAATACGAAACAGAGGAAGGGATAACCATAATGAATATTGCACACAGAATATTCGACTAGGTACATATGGCCAAACTATGTTGCACATGCCGGGATTTCTAATGCACCAAAAAGACTGAATGGGTTCAGCACCAATCCCTCTTTTGTTCACTCATTCAATCTATCTGTGACTTCTGCACACCTCTTCATTGCAATCAGCTCCAACTTTTTGTCCCATAGTATAAGAGTTGTCATTCAATTCAAACTGATTTATTTTTGCTCCTCCGAAACCATGTAATTCTTGAGCCTATGGGTAGATTTGCATCACAAAAAAAAAAATGAACAAATAAATAAATGGATGAATAGAAAAAGACGATAAATAATCTTTTCTTAAAGAAATAATTATTCATGATCACAACAATAATAATTTACCTTAAGCAAGCCAGTCATGTTCATGGAACTGAAAGTGCATAGTTGGCCATAATTTTGTTGATACTGTAAAGATTCTATCATGCTCACCTCATTTGTATTTGCCTAAAAATAAAAATAAATAAGCACATTTATAAATAGCTTGATAGTGAACAATATATTGTTTGGAACATGTATAATACTTAATTGTTAGTCAACATATAATGTCAAATTATTACCTCTTGTAGTCCATGATGTTGTATACTGCATCCTGTAGATACAATATTTATAATATCTCCTACAGGCTAATGAAAAGAAAAAACAAAGATTAGAATCATAATATAAACAAATATTGAATTGCAAAGATAGTAAAATTATAATGTAATAAAACCTCATCATGTGATGACGCTGATAACTTCATAGTTACACTATTTTGCAAACTTTTTTTTGTTGATCTTCTTCTCTTAGTAGCCTTCTCTAGACTACTCCTCAGTCTCTTGCCTGAAATAGTTTTCGTCTTTTTTTTGATGCCCTTGATATTGATACCACTTGCATTAGTAGTATTATTTGTGGGGCTGGAACCTTTTGTTGCATTTGACATCTCATTGCTCAACCCCTCTTGATGTAACCTTGCATCAACCAAATCCAACATTTTCAAAAGGCCTTCTTTAGCAATTCTATAAGTTTCTTCTGCTTGTGCAGCTTTTGTGACCAATTGAGTATATAGTCTACACAAATCTCTATAACGCTTCGTAAAAAGCACTTTCGGATCCAAATCATTATTGATATTGCAAGAATCATTGTCTGTAATATATCCTGCTTTTGCTTTGCTGGTCCATCTTTTTATTATGTATTGACTAGGGATCTTCATGATGTTTCTTACATTAAGAACTTTCAGAGAATGAGAGCATAAAATTCCAGAGAATTCAAACTTCCTGCAACTACATGAAATCTGATCACCTATTGCATCAAATCTAACCATATGATAGTTTTTTCTGCCTTTAGGAGTGATCTTATACTCTGTCACTGTTCCAACCTCACTGTAGGTGATTATACCACAATCATGAGATTTACCCCACTCAACTTCAAACCATTTGAATACTTCAGGAGTATACACACTTGCAGCTTGTTTCAAAACATCAACATCAAATGGTAGTACTGGAGTACTCATATATGCTCTAAAGTTGGCTTGAAGTTCTTTATATCTACGATCATCAACTAACCTCTCAAAATGATTGAAAAACTCATGAAATTTATTCTTGTAGGTTACATACCTTTTTATCACACTATTCATGCTTTCGCTCCTTTGAGTTGTTGTCATATCTGCACAAAATGTTTCCCTTCCATACACCAATGCCCATTTTTCTCTAATTTCAAATATACGTTTTAACCAATCATTGTCCTCAAGACCATACTTCTTCAACATAGAATTCCATTCATATATAAAGTCTTCTTCTTCATCAAAATCATATACACATCTACTGAAATCATTCGCAAATTGTTTAAACTTTTCGAACACATGACTGAGATGAATAGCTGCATTTTGAAATATATGCCATATGCAAAGACGGTGACGTGTTTCAGGCCATGTAGAAATTAGTCCTTTAGCCATTGCTGCGTCCTGATCCGTAAGTATAGTGTTTGGTTTTTTCCCTGACATGGCTCTCGCAAAAGTGTCAAACAACCACTCAAAAGTTGAAGTAGTTTCATCATATAATAAAGCAGCCCCAAATATTGCAGTCTGTTTATGATTATTCACTCCAACAAATAAAGCAAATGGACGGCCTTCATTATTCTTTCTGTACGTCGTGTCAAAACAAACAACATCTCCAAAACTTGCATAATCTACCCTCATTAATCCATCAGCCCAAAAAATATTTGTAATCAAAGCATCTTGATCCACTTGAATTGCATAGAAGAAATTAGGATCCTCTAATTGCATTTTTTGCAAATATTCAAGTACGCCTCCTGTATCTCCAACTTCCATTTGTATTGTTCGTTTAGAACATAAATAATTCTTGTAATCCTCAGGAATGAAACCTAAGTTCTCCCGTCCTCCTACTTGTAGTGCCATAAGTTCATGAGAAACTTTTGGTGCTATACCCACACGGTATGCCATATCAATTTCAGCTGCATGAATAGAATTTATCTTTCTATGTGATCTGTGTAAATGACTTTTGTTGGGACTTGAAAGATAGTGATTATGCTCAATGATCAACTGACATATACGAAACTTACCAGTTTGTCTACTGTTAACCTTCATCTTCGCCGAACAATTAAATCGTGTTTCAGGACGAGGGGCTCTTACATTGAGATCTCTTTTATCCTTTCCTCGTTTTCCTTCAGCACTACAACAAAATACCCTATCCATGAGCTTACCATTACTATCTTTGTGGAAGCTACTTCTTTTGATTCCAAAACCAACTTCCTTTGCATATGCTAAGTAAAAATTATAAGCATCTTCTTCACTCTCAAATTCCATGCCCATCTTCGGAATTAGTTCAAAAGGAATCAATGTATGAATTTTATTTATATCCTTTATCACATTTAAAACTGGTGGAGTGGAAACCTCATCATTGGTAATTTGATCTATCTTGTCAAAATCCAACCTGCGACAGAATGATACCTCAGTTTCCATAGAAGCCTTAGCATCCATATCCTGCAACCTTTTAAGAGTCGTGACACAAGCAAGACTTGCTCTAACGCTTGACCCACTGGAAGCTCTTTCTTGTTTTTGCTTTTCCGGGCTTTTTCCTTTCAACAACCCTGGAATCCCGTGTCAACAAAAATCACCTAAAAATGACAACTAAACCACCTATAAATGACAACTAAGGTCAAAAGCTCCAAATTTGACATATAACGAAACGTGAAATGCAAGAAGGCAATGTTCCAGGTCGCAATAGAACACACATTTGACGTACAACTATACAAACAAAATAATAGATTACTTTTGATTTAATCATCATGTTTTCAAGATCAGTACATGCATGTTTTAAGAATTTCATGCAAGTTAATTGCAGTTCAATAAGGAAAAAATGTAAGCAAATTTTTTCCCTCAATAATTTATTAAAATAGTTGAATTTCCAATTCTACTTGTTCACTACTACTACTTGCAACTAGTCAGAAAAGCTATTTGTTACTTCTTGTATCTTTTTTTTAATTTGGTACATTAGTAAAATTTATAACAATTCTTGAAATAATGAATAATTTTTTAATCCCACAAAGTAACTTATTTTCCAGGTATATTACAATTAGCGTGTAAGTAGTCAATTTGACCACTCAATTAATATTTAATCTTTCCAAACTCACAATTCAATGTAAATTTCACTTTAATGGAAATTGAAAATGAAGATATAAAATTGCATAACATAAGGTAGGGTGATATTGCTTATGAGTTGTTAAAATACTTACGAGTTGTTGTCTATTTCCTAACTTTCTTAATATTAAAAAAATTGAAATTCGAAATCAAGATCATGGAGCAAATAGTGATATTGATTTAATAAATCAAAGCTGAAAAACTCAAGACTTAAACCGGATGCAAGGTTGGATAATTACCTGAATAATGTGAAACGTTTTGGTTTGTTCTTTGCTGGAGAAAGCTAGGGATGGTTGGACTTTAATTTGAGTACTTCCTGAATCTTTGTAGTCAATTTGCTTCAATAGTCGGCCGCTGCAGTTTTAGCTTATTAGGCTACGGTTGATTGTTCTAAGCAATCAACGATAAAAAGGCTTGGACTTTGGAGGCAATTGTTTAGGGTTATTTTTTTCTTTTTCCTAAAGGAACCGATCTTGAGTGGTTGCTGTACAAAAATATTGGTAATGGAATTAGACCGGTTGGTTAATTTGGTTCAAAGTTTTAGAGGATAGAGAAAATTTGTGTTAAATCAAACCAAGTTGAATTATTAAAAAATTAAAGTGCAAATAATAATAGGCCAAGTAGCACAATACTATAGGTGGCATTGGATTGACATTGAATTCATGTCACCGAGGATCCCAAGTGCCAACTTTTGGACTGGTGGTTAGAAGAAAGTTTATGCTTAGATATTTGTATGTGCCTATGACTCCTATGACTGTCAAAAAAGAATTTTTTTTTTTTTTGCCTTTTTAAACAACCAAACACATGGTAGTATAGTACGTCCGAAGAATGAAGGTCTCACGCGTAATGTGGCGTTTGAACAAAGATCAGTCGCCAATTTTGAATTTTCATCGTACCTACTACCGATTACTAGAAAGGCAACGTTGAAAACCGATATTTCATTCCAACTAGTTTTAGTTCAGCAAGGTCATGTTCTAACCTATATATGTGTTTCGTACTAATTATGATAATAGCTATTAATGAACGAACTCAGGAAAAAAAATCATTTAGAAGTAAGAGTAAATTCTATATGTGCTCATAGT